CTCTGAGCATTGAAGGCATGCCTCAATACTCACAGAGAGCCCTTTGGCAAAGACTGAGAGACTTATTAGTTCCAGTCATTGAAGGAAATTTCTGTCTAGTCATTAGCTGACTACTAAGCTAACCAATCAGAGACTCCAATGGCCACATATGACAAAGAATATAGACTTTACAGAATTAGTTCAGAAAAGTCACCAAACAAACAGCAACAAACTTTGAGTGTGTAGCAGTCTTATTTCTTGACACATATTTAAAATGTACGGTTTTCAACAGAAATTGTGAAGAATGCAAAGAAATAAGAAAGTATGGCCCAAACATGGGAAGAAAGTTTCAATAGAAACTGTCCCTGAGGATGCCCAGATGTTGGATTTACTAGACAAAAACTTTTGTAAATTTACAGCTATTGTAAATATGTTCAAAGAACTAAAAAAATATGTCTAAAGAACTACAGGAAAGTATTAATAATGCTGCCTCACCAAATACAGGATATCAATAAAGAGAAATTATAGCAAGGAACCAAATAGAAATTTTGGAGTATGAAGCTGTAGTATACTACGATCATGCCTGTCAATAGCCATTGCATTCCAACCTGGGCAACATAGTGAGACCCCATCTCTGAAAAAAAATGTTACAGTTGTCAAGACAATGTGGTACTGACATAAGGATAGACATAGATAAATGGAATAAAAATAATGAAATAAACCCATACATCTATAGTAAATGAATTTTGACATGGGTGCCAAGACAGTGCAATGGGAGAAAGAATAGTATTTTTAACAAATGGTGCTGGGATAACTGGATATCCTTATGTAAAATAATAAATTTGGGCTCCCTACCTCACACCATATATAAATACTAACTCAAAATACAGCATATACCTAAATATAAAAGCTAAAACTATAAAACTCTTAGAACAAAACTTAAATATAAATCTTTATTATCTTGAATTAGGTGACAATTTCTTAGGTTTGATATCAAAAGCACAATCAACTCAAGAAAAATAGATTTGGCCTTCATCAAAATTAAAAATTTTTGTGCATCAAAGGACACTATCAACAAAGTGAAAAGACACCCAAAGAATGGGGGGAAATATCTGCAAATAATATATATTATAGGGTCTAGTATCTAGATTGTAAAGAACTCTTACAACTCAATAATAAAAAGACAACCGATTTCGTAAATGGGAAATGATTTGAACTGACATTTCTCCAACTAAGATATACAAATGGCCAATAAGGGCATGAAAAGATACTCAACATCATCAGCCATTAGGGAAACACAAATCAAAACTACAGTGAGATACCACTTCACACCCACTAGGATGACTGAAAGAAAAAAGGGGGAAAATAACAAGTCTTGACGAGGACGTGGCGAAATCGAAACTTTCATATGTTGTTAGTGGAAATGTAAAATAGTGCAGCCACTCTGGAAAACAATTTGACGCTTTCTAAAAATGTTAAATATGGAGTTATAATTCCTAAGTATGTACCAAAGGTAATTGAAAACATTTGTCTACACAACAACTTGTACACGAATGTTTATGGCAGCATTATTCATAATAGTCAAAAGGTGGAAACCACTCTAATGTCCATCAACTGATGGATAGACAAAATGTGCTACATCTACACAATAGAATATTATTCAGCCATAAGAAGCAATTAAACACTGATACATGCTACAATGTGAATGAGCCTTGAAAACATTATGTAAGTGAAAGAAGCCAGATATAAGAGGCCACATATTGTAGGATTCCGTGTATGTCAAATGTCTGGAATAGGCAAATCCATAGAGACAGAAAGTACATCTGATTCCTAGGGGCTGTGAAGAGGAGGGAATGGGGAATGACTGCTAATGGGCACAGTTTCTTTCTGGGGAGATGAAAATGTTCTGTAATTAGATAATAGTTATAGTTGCACAGCCTTGTGAATACAGTAAAAACCACTGAATGTTACCCTTTACATGATAATGTATATTATATCTCAATAAAAAGGATTTTGTAATCCATGGAAAATGTGTTAATATGGCAGGCACATGGGCTGATTTTAAATACGTTTAGGTCACTTGCCACTGCTTTTGTCCCCTTTCTACTGCTTGATAGTCTACCTATTTATATTCTGTCTGTCCATCTGTCTCTGTCTCTTTTGTTCCTTTCAACGGTGGCCTACCCTCTCTACTTTAACTTCTCTAACAGCCTCTACTAGCATCATACGAGAGCCACTGTGAGGTAGGAATCTTGGAAATAAGATTTCCCTCTGAGAATTAAACTCTTCACCAACACAGTGGATTAAAGTGGAGATATATGAAATCTTGTGTATCAATCAGGGCCCTCCTGATCCTCGAAGATATGGGATAATTTGGCCCAACTTCAGTGGCTCAGGATACTAAAATTCCTTTCCCAAACTATCTGTGGGTGCTCTTTCTTATTTCTTTGTGACTACCCACCTCTATTCCTCCTTTTGTGGTTGCTCTCTTTGTTGTGTTTCTATATCAGTTCATAAAAAGATTGACTTGAATAAAACATCTCATGAATATAGTTGCTCTACTGAAGATTGGAGATGTCAAAGAGGAGGGATCACATTGTGCACTGCACAGCTTTCTGACATCCTGATGTCCTGCCACCACTGCCAAGGCCTGCTCACCACTGTATATTTTGTGGGGAACAGCTCCTGCCAGAATGGGCTGTTTGCTCTACTGAGTCTCTTTAGAATTTTGGCAAATTAAATTTTTCCCATTTTATTTCACATCTTAAAGAATTAGAATGACTCTTGGGTCAGAGAAAGGTATTAACATGCCTAAAAATATGTTAATCAAAAGGCAGATGGTTTAACTTAGAGGCCATTGTTTGGCTACTTCTGATTGCAAGTAACACAAGCCAAGTTGAGCTGGTTTAGGCAAAATAAAGGAAATTTGTTACAAGGCTATAAGGATGTCAGGACTGTAACTGTCAAGGCTATAATTGGTCAGGACTCTTTGGTTGCAAGTGACTAACTCATGGTAGTTGAAACAAAAGAGAATATTTTGGCTCACATACCTGAGGATTGAGGTATAACTTGATCCAGAACACTGTTCTACTTCTCAGTTTTACTTGACTTTATTCTGCATGCAGAGGCTTGGTATGTGGTAGGCAAGATGGTGGTTCTAAACTCACACTTTAGCCACCAATTTCTCACTCCCATCAACCTTAATCCAAACCCCAAGAAGAATTTAATTGATCCTGGAAGCTTCTCTTTCGGTATCTTTCTCTCTTTCTGGAGCCGTGTGATTTTTTTCTTTCTGTCTTTCTCTCTAATTCTCTTTCATTCTTCTCCTAATAAAAATAGTAAAAATAATAATAGCCGGGCCAGGCATGGTGGCTCACACCTGTAATCCTAGCACTCTGGGAGGCCGAGGCAGGAGGATTGCTCAAGATCAGGAGTTCAAGACCAGCCCGAGCAAGAGTTGAGACCCGCTCTCTATTAAAAATAGAAAGAAATTAGTTGGACAACTAAAAATATATAGAAAAAATTAGCCGGGTATGGTGGCGCATGACTGTAGTCCCAGCTACTCGGGAGGCTGAGGCAGAAGGATTGCTTGAGCCCAAGAGTTTGAGGTTGCTGTGAGCTAGCCTGACACCACGGCACTCTAGCCCAGGCAACAGAGTGAGACTCTGTCTCAAAAAAAAAAAAAACATAATAGCTAATATTTGTTGAAAACATATTTTGTACCAGGCACTATTCTAAATTGTTTACATATATAGCTTTAGTTCTCACACCAACCATATAAACCTAGGTACTGTTATTAACCCCATTTTTCAATTAAGGAAACAGACTCAAAAGGGTTAAATAATGTTGTCTAGATTCACATAGTTAATATATGGTATGTTCAGAAAAAGTCCAAGTAGTCTGACTCCAGAATCCACATTCTTACCCACTGTACTATCCTATCTTTGTTATTTATGCCTGTGGCTACCCATTATTATTCAAATGCCTTTCCTATTTTGGTGAATTTCCTTCCTTACAAGTCCGGCCTCCTTAAGGTAGAAGGCAGACTTCATCTTTTCAGCCTCTCTTGCAGCTAAAGTGAAAGCACTGGACCAGGACTAAGTCAAAGTCTTTACATATGCCAGATTTATATTCTGAAGAGAGCAATATAAGGAAACAAACAGCGTGTTGAATCAATTCTTTGGAGAAAATGGCAGCAAAAGTGTACCAATTTAAGAGGCAACAATGGTGAAGGTTCAGGTACATGGTGTCTTGTGGTGGTAGGATGGCTGCCCATCTGTCTTTCTTGCTTCCTTGTTCATATCTAGCTTGAGAGTCTTTTTGATGTCTCTCCCAGAAGAACAAGGAAAAACTTCTAAAAGTTGCAAGTATGGGGCTCCTTTGCTACCTGAGCACCCACCTCGGCTAGGTCCTGCAGGGCCAGGGCAGCCAGCAAAAATAAAAAATAAAAAATAAAGTTCGCAAGTAAACCCTTTGTCCTATTTCTTTGCGTATTAGAAAAATAATTATTGGCAAGGGAGATGCAAGTATTCTTAAGCTAAATATTCCCATTCTGGAACTGTAGTCATTTCTCCAAATTGTGTTGCTACTTCTCAGTGGGGAAAAGGTTGAATAGAGTTAATCACAATGCCTACAACCCCAAAAGATGAACATCTCCAAAGTTATCCATTTATAAACTGCCAGTTTGTTAACTTTGAAAAATGCTCTTATAAAACCTGTTGGGATAGATATTATTGATTTCAGTTTTAAAGATGAAGATGCTGAGATTCCAAGAAGTTAAATGACTTGCCCAAATTTATACAGTAAGTAAATGACCAATCAAGGACTCCAATGTATGTCTTCTGATTTCAAGGCATTGTAATTTTTTCATTTAATCCTAGCTGTTCTTGACATAACAAGCATAAATTCAATATTTGAAACAATTTCCAGGTAACAAATTCCAGGTATAGAAATTTCTGAGAAAAAATGTCACTTAAACTCTTCCTGAAAGTCTTTAATAATCATTGTTTAAAACTTATTAGAAATAAGAAACTCTGAAGAAGATCAAGTTCCCCATCCACCTCTTCTACCCAGCAAAGTAGATCTCCAGCAGGTGACCATAATTCCACATGATGAATGGAAAAGGATTCAAGATAGCCTAGACAGTTTGACAAGAGAAGCAGCATGCCTTCGTGCAGAAAGAAAGGCAAAAAAAGAAATGCATTTTCGATCCCAGGAAGTGGTGAAACATTGGACTAATACATATGCAGTAAGTATTAATTATCCAGGTGTACACATGCACTGGAGACTTACTCTTGTTTCTTAGTACTCTCATGCTTCTTTTATAATTATTTATACATGTAAAATATCATAAAAATGCATTGAAACACATTTTAATAGTTTTATTTAGGTATAAGTGACATGCAATAAATTGAATACATTTGAAGTGTACAATTTGATAAGTTTTGACATATGTATATGCCCCTAAAACCATCATTGCATTTAAGATAGTGAACATGTTTGTCATCCAGAAGTTTCCTCATGCCTTGTTTTACTCATTCTCACTCCTCCTTGCCCCTCGTCCCCATCCTTAGGCAACCACTGATCTACTTCCTATTATTATTTTTTTTTGTCTTTTTTTTTTTTTTGAGACAGAGTCTCGCTCTGTTGCCCAGGCTAGAGTGCCATGGCATCAGCCTAGCTCACAGCAACCTCAAACTCCTGTGCTCAAGCAATCCTTCTGTCTCAGCCTCCCAAGTAGCTGGGACTACAGGCATGTGCCACCATGCCCAGCTAATTTTTGCTATATATTTTTAGTTGTCCAGCTAATTTCTTTCTATTTTTAGTAGAGACAGTCTCACTCTTGCTCAGGCTGGTCTCGAACTCCTGAACTCAAACAATCTGCCTGCGTTGGCCTCCCAGAGTGCTAGGATTACAGGCGTGAGCCACCGCTCCCGGCCCGAAACTTCCCGTTTTTTAAAGTAATTGTATTTTTACGTTCCCAACAGTTATCTATGAGAGTTCTATTTCTTACATTCTTACCAACACTTGGTATAGTCAATCCTTTTAATTGTGGACATTCTAATAGGTGTGAAATATCTCATTATAGTTTTAATTTAAACTTCTGTAATTAAATCAATTTCTCTAGAGAAATTTAATTTAAATTAAATTAAAATTTAGATTTAAATTAAATTTAAATTTAAAAATGATGTCCAGTGGATTTGAAGTTCATGAAATAAAAAAAAATGATGTTGAATATCTTTTCATGAACTTTTTTTCTACCAGTATATCTTCTTTGGTGAAGTGTTTGTTGAAATCTTTTACCTATTTTAAAATTAGGTTTGTTTTATTACTGAGTTTAGAGAATTTAAAAAACATTCTAATACAAGTTCTTTATTAGGTATTTTATTTGAAAATATTTCCTCCCAGTCTGTGCCTTGAGTTTGCATTCCATTACTGTGTCTTTTGAAGAGACGTGTTTAATTTTAGTGAAGTCTAGTTTATCAGTTTTTCTTATATGGATCATTCTTTCAGTGGCTTATCTAAGAAATCTTTACCAAGATCACAAAGATTTTTCTCCTATGTTTTCTTCTAGGAGTTTTAGAATTTTAAGTTTCATATATAGCTCTGTGGGCCATTTTTAATTAGTTTTTTATATGCAGTGAGGTATTGATTGATTTTTTGGGGTTTTTTTGTTTTTGCATATAAATATATAATTGTTCCACAATAATTTGTTGAAAAGACTATTCTTTCTTCACTGAATTGCCTTTGCACTTTTGTTGAAAATCCAGTTGTCCATCCGTATACATGTGGGGGAAATTTCTGAACTCTCTTTTCTGTTTCATGGGCCTATTCATCAATTATTCCAATAACACACTGTTTTGATAACTCTAGATTTAATTGATCTTGAAATCAGGTAGTATCAGTCTTTCAACTTTGTTCTTTTTCCAAGTTGTTTTGGCTATTCTGTATTTTGGCTATTCTATATTTGTACTTCCTTATGAATTTTAGAATCAGCTTGTTAATTCCTATGAAAAAGCCAGCTGGGATTTTGATTGGGATTATGTTGACTCTCTACATCAATTGGGGAGAATTTACTCTTGTTCATATATCAATTATCCCAGGATCAGTTATTGAATTCCCATCCTTTCCTTTCTGATTTGCAATGACATTTATGTCATATGTCAAGTTCCTATATATAACATGGGTTTCTTTTTTTTTTTTTAATTCTTTTTGAAGACATTTCTAGTTGTCACAACATGGGTTTGTTTCTAGCCTATTATTTTGTTAAATCTCTGTGCCTATACCACAGTTTTAACTACTCCGGTTTATAGTAAGTCTTGCTGCTGGTAAGATGAATCTTCATTTATTCTTCTTCTTTAACACCCATGGAGGTATAAATCACTATGCATAGTGTGTTACTAATGTGTAAAAAAAAATAGAGGCTATATCCTATATCCCCCCATTCCTTTATGTACCAAGGGCTTTTTAAAAATCCAGTGTTTTAGACTATAATTTACATATGTCCTTATAGTGTACAGTTTACAAATGCTTACAGTCACTTGTAGAACAATACCATCCTCCCCCAAAACTCCCTCAGGCCCTGTTACAGCCAACTACTCCTCTACCTGTTGTCCCTGATAACCAGTAATCTGTTTTCTTTCCCTATAGTTTTGCCTTTTTGAGAATGTAATATGGTATATGTATGATATTAGCTATGATATCATTCTTCCCTCTTCTAGAAAAAAAAGAATTAATAAATTATGAACATTGTTCCTAAAGCAAGGTACCACAAGCTTTCTATTAATATGTCCCTTCCCAAAGATAAATAATGTGTATCGCAACAAAGGAAACATGCAATGTTTAAAAAAAAAAAAAAGCGAGGACTCTCTAGACAGAACTTATGCTTATCTGTAGTTATAATAATTTTATTATAAAATAAAAAATAACCCTGCCTCTCAGTGCCTCAAACAATGGAGGGAAGTGAAGGGCAGGGAAGGATTACTTTTCCCAGCACTTCTCCCCCAAGTGACATAATAAAACGAGTCAGGGGACACACCTCCCCACTTCAAAGTAGTTTCTCATTCATGCATGTGGAACTAAACTGGACTATTTTATCTCTCAGGTGGAGGGAAGCTAGCAGAAGTACAGAGAGGAGCACAGCAAAAGCATTATATAGTTCCAGAGAGAGAAAGAAATAGATAAATCGGAGGCAAAGATAAAGAGAAGCTGCCTTGGTTCCTGATAGTTTCAAGTACTCTCTGTCCTTCTGGGCAATCCTGTATCACGACAATAAAACAGCATTACTCTGATACCAAAACCAGACAAAGTCATTTCAAGAAAACTATAGACAATATCCCTCATGAGCACAGATAAAAAAATTAACAGCATTTTAGCAAATTAAATCCATCAAAAGAATGATACATCATGACCAATGGGAGTTTATCTGAGGAGTGCAAGCTTGGTTTAATATTTGAAAATCAATCAATGTAATTCACAGTATTAACAAACTAGAAAATAAAAACCTCATAATCATCTCAATAGACACCCAAAAAAGCATTTAAAAAAATCCAACATTCATTCTTGATTTTAAAAGAACCAAAATACTCAACAATGTAGGGACAGATGACAACTTCAACTTGATCAGGGGCAGCTACAAAACCCCGACACTTAGTATTTTACTTAAAGGTGAAAGAATGAATACTTTCCCCCTAAAATCAGGAAAAAGGCAAAAATGTCTACTTTCAGTACATTTATTCAACATTGTATTGAAGGTTCTACCTAGTGCAATAAGTCAAGAAAAAAAATAAAAGGCACCCAGACTGAAAAGAAAGAAGTAAAACTGTCTTTATTTTCTGATGCTATGATTGTCTATGTAGATAATCTGCTGGAATCTATAGCAAAGGTACTAGAACTAATGAGGTTAACAATGTTGCAGGATACATACAGATCAATATAAGAAAAAATTATATTTTATGGGTAACAATAGCAAATTGAAACTTTAAAAAATACCATTTACTATTATATCAAAAATATGAAATACTTAGGGATAAATATGACAAAAGATATATAAGACCTATACACTGAAAACTATAAAATATTGCTGACAGAAATTAAGACCTAAATAAATAGAGAGAGAGAGTACATTCATGTATCAGAAGATTCAGAATACAGAAAACAGAATACAGAAAAATGAATTTCAGCTGGATTAAAGATCTATATTTAAAAGGCAAAATAGTAAAACTTTTAACGTAAATCATAGAATATGGTTCAGTACATCAGGGAAAGTAAGGTTTTCTTAAGACCTAGAAAGTATGGCCAATAGAGTAAAAGAAAGCCCTCACATGAAGTGGAACATTGAGTAGACTCCTCAGCAGTATAAAAGGGTATATAAAATATGCTACTATTGGTTTTTTAAAGGAGCAAAGTATAAAATATATTTATTATGTGATTAGTAGTAAGATATATATTATGTAATTATAAAGATCAATTTTGGAAGTAAACATAAGAAACTAATAATAGTGGTTAGAGTGAAAGGAGATTGCAGATGGAAGTTAGGATTGGAAGGAGAAGTTCACTGTAGATTTTGATAATATGTTGGGATTTTGAACCATGTAAATGTGTTAACCTATAAAAAATTCAATTTAAACCATTAGCTCGTAAGTATAACCTCATTATTTATTAATGAAATATGCAAATACAATAAAGACTCATAGTGAAAGCTCAAATTATCGCATTGTAACGTTAAATTTTGATAAATTGAAAAATGAAAACAAAAAATTGCTTTTCTCTTTTTATAGGGAATGAAAGAACAGAAACTTGAAGCCAAAAAGAAGCGTGATGAAGAAATAGAGGCAGAAAGACAAATTCTTGATGTGGAAGAAGCAATACATAAACAAGGAGAAAGAAAAAAGGCCATTGAAAATGCAAAGCAATATCAATTCTACCAGACAGAAAGAGTGAAAAACTTTCATGTACTACTTGGGTTTTCTTGTACTTTTATATATATTTAACATATCTATACATAATTTGACATTATTTTCTTAAAATACTGTAATTTTTTTTTGTAGTCAGGACTTCTTCTTAGTAGAGTTATGAAAGAACGTGATGCTCAGATTGAATTCCAAAAGAGTAAGATAAAATCAGATAAAAAATGGGAGGAACAATTGAAACTCAATGTTGAAAAAGCTGTCAAAGAAGAACAAGAAAAAGCAGAAAAGCGTTACAGAGAAAGAGTGGCTCTTGCCCAAGATCATCTAAAACAGTAGGTGTACATAAATTTGTACCTTTCTCTTTTTCTCATAAATGGATATAGTTTTTTTCTGATTATAAAAGTAATACATGCTAAAATAATTAGTCAATAGGAAAAGTACAAAGAAAGAGGTTAAAAATCACTATCACTTCCTTACTCAGAGATGTGTATTGATTACTACTCCAGTAATATTGCAGCATAACAAACAGTCACACAATCTAGTGGCATACAACAACAAGCATTTATTTCTCATGCATCTGTGGATTGGCTAGGGTTGGCAGATCTAGGCTGGACTTAGATGGGCAGCTCACTGTTGTGGGGGAGGGTTCTGATTCACTCTACGTGTATTCATGCTGAGGTCCAGGATGAAAAAGCCACCTGGGGGAAACTTTTCATATATTATTGACAGAGAGGTAAGAGAGCAAGCATAAAATTGCAAGAATAGAGGTAAACCATCAAAGGACAAGACAAGGACCTGTACTTGGCCTACCATGAGTCTAAAGCAAGTCATATGACCAACCTCAACAGCAGTGGAACAGAATAGATGTCCATGAAAGTGGGAAGTTCCTATTATTGTTTGTTTTTTTTTTTTTTGGAGACAGAGTCTCGCTTTGTTGCCCAGGCTAGAGTGAGTGCCGGGCTAGAGTGAGTTGGCGTCAGCCTAGCTCACAGCAACTCAAACTCCTGGGCTCAAGCAATCCTTCTGCCTCAGCCTCCCGAGTAGTTGGGACTACAGGCATGCGCCACCATGCCCAGATAATTTTTTCTTTATATTTTTAGTTGTCCAATTAATTTCTTTCTATTTTTAGTAGAGACAGGGTCTCGCTGTTGCTCAGGCTGGTTTCGAACTCCTGAGCTCAGTCTGCCCGCCTCGGCCTCCCAGAGTGCTAGGATTACAGGCGTGAGCCACAGCGCCCGGCCCCTATTATTGTTTTGGTGTATAGCCATAAGAATTTTTTTTTTTATGGTGGAGGCTTCAGGCTCATTGAGATATAATTTACGTTCAGTAAAATATTCCTTTTGAAAAGCATATAGGTGTATAACTACCACCCAAATCAACACAGAACATGTCCATCACCCCAAAAAGTTCTCTCATGCCCCTTTGCACTAAGTTCTATCTCCCATCCCCAGCCTCTGGCAATCATTGATCTACTGATACAAACTTTTTTCCTGAGCACATATACCCATATTTTATAAAATGAAACTGAATAAACAGTATTGTTTTATTAAATGCTTTTCTCACTTTGTCATATATAAAATTATTTCTCAAAATCATGTGTCTAAGTGACATAGACATCAATTCTCAGGATACATATATTGCCAAATTGAGTATTTTTCAGTTATTTAAATCCATGGCAAAAAGAGAAGGGAAACCTTTGGATTTATTGTAATTTTGTCTTTGGCAGTATAAAGTGTAAGGGTTTGTACAAGTAAGGGACAAAGCCATTGGCAGAGGGAGTCAAATATTTGATCAGTGAGTCACTTGTGTTTGAGAAATCTCTCTTCTATAGTGCAGCTCAGAGATAATCAAAGGTAGCAGTCTGATCTCCAGCAAGCTACCCAGCAACACTTGCACAGGCCATCCACCCACCTAGAGCCTTTGTATGTAGGCTGTGTTTAGGCCACAGGATTTTGTGTGTGTGTGTGTGCGGGGGGTGGTATTCGGCAATAGGTTAGAGGTTCAAGCAGGTTTAGGATTTGTTTTATTTGTTTTCTTGATATATCTTCAGTGCAGTCTAGGAAATGTTTATCAGGCTCTGAGGTCAGTGTAAACTCCTTTACTTACTGCTCACGGTGGGCTCTGTTCTTGTGGATGGTGGCCAAATGTTACATATGCTCAATGCACTCTTAGCTGCCTTATTTTCCCCAGAAATCTCTTGAAAATTCAGGTATGTGGGTAAGGCCCTGGTTTAGTTTCTAGTAATGGTACACAATTTCCGTCATTATATTGGTTGCATTGTGGGGAATTAGGAGAGGAAGGATGTTCAACATGTAAGCTTGGGTTGCCAATTCATTTCTAGAAGTCCCGCATCTTAAATTTAATAAGAGAGACTCAATTCTGTAATTGAAGACAACATAGGAAAATGTAAATCTATTA